TTATGTTTATTCCTTACTTCATTCTTAGAGTAATGGCATTAAGTTACACAACCCATCTGCTTGTCCATATGGTCTCCTGAACTTCTAACGGATTTCAGCAATAGGTCAAACAGAGTGGCCACCCCATTAATAAAGCACTAAGTAGAGCTAGAGAACACATTAAAATTCAAACTTTCCACATTGTTTTAAATGGAAATGAGGATGTATTTTGTAAACAGTGATTACACAGGATTACCTTTTAGTGCAACCTTTAGCTTTGTTACTCTATCAAAAGATCATGTGAACGGGGTTAGCTACATAATTACTGAATACAGATTTGGAGCTGCCAGGATCTGTGAGGACCGCATGTTGTTTTTCCTGGGATGTATTGGTTACGACTTGGAAGACTCAGCCGTTGTGGAGAGGGCGGTTGGCCCTGTCTTCTTGGTAACTTACTCTTCTGTTTTATGTGAGTGGTGAGCACCAGTTGTGCTAAAGCAAGGGTGATGGTTTCATGATGCACTGCTCTACACAGGAGACCGAGCGTTAGACCAGTGGGCTTATTTTACTGGAGGCCAAAAAGCAAAAAGTTTTAGGCATAGGAGGTTGGTGACCATAATATACAATGTGTATTTTCCTATTCTTTTTAAAGTCTAAATAAATGTATTATTTTGCTTTATGCTTTAAATATTTTTTCAGAATAAAGGAGACAAAGTAAGTCATATAGGGCTGTATCTTAGCTTCGATGATATGATAAAAAAAATTTTATTCCGGCCGAAACCGGTTTGGCTCAGTGGATAGAGCGTCGGCCTGTGGACTGAAAGGTCCCAGGTTCGATTCCGGTCAAGGGCATGTACCTGGGTTGCGGGCACATCCCCAGTAGGAGATGTGCAGGAGGCAGCTGATCAATGTTTCTCTGTCATCGATGTTTCTAACTCTCTATCTCTCTCCCTACCTCTCTGTAAAAAAGTCAATAACATATATTTTAAAAAATTTTATTCCGTTCCTGTGCTTGAGGTACCAAAGGCTTTCATCTTAGCTTCACAAAAACTAGAGAGAACCGGGTACACATGGACAGTCCTGGGCAACCAGGCGGGGTACTTCTTATGCCTAAACCACAGTAGAATTTTTTTTCATCCAGGAACATGATGAAGTTTTCCTAGGAAGTACAGTACAGTGTGGCAGGAACTGTTATGCTCACCATTCATCCAGGGCCTCTGTGTATTTTGCAGCTTCTTTACATGTAGGTTGAGGCCAAGTGACTGGTTCTGACCAATGAATTGTGAGTGGAGGGATGTAGGCCCCCCAGGACACCTGGACAAGGCAGTTCCAGTTGGTGTACATCTTCCTCTTCCCTCGTCCTTACTGCAGCAGCCTAATTTCATATGACATGGCTACAAGGGGAAGGTCCTGGGTCCACGTATACTTTGAATGAGTAAGAAACATTTTGTATTATGCTTCTGCGGTGTACTATGCAAAACAACCAAAGTTATACTGATCAACACAAACACGAAGGGTTAGATTGTTGTGTAGCTACAATACACTAGTAAATTATGTAAATTATGAGGGGGGGGACTAGTACAGACTATGGGATGACCTTATTCATTTAACTTATGTCATGAGAAGGTTTGTAGGTGTGCTACTTCTTCAAATCTCTATTAAAGAAGAGGAAGCCTTCAGTACCTCAATGAATGCCATGGATGTTTCTTTCAGAAGAAGGAACCATTATACACTCCCTCAAACAGCGTTTTTATTAGGATTGAGAATATGCGACAGGTGTTTTGTTTTTTTTTCAAATAACTTTTCAAAGAACCTTATAAAAATAGAAATTTTATGATTTTATATACTGTGAGTGACTTAAGTCTCATGGGTTATATCAGAGAATTGGTAATCCGCACCCCCCCCCTTTTTTAAAATCCTCACCCAAGGATATTTTTTAAATTGATTTTAGAGATAGAGGAAAGGAAAGAGAGAAGGAGAGAAAAACAAACAAACAAAACATCTGTATTAAAGAGAAACATCCATGGGTTGCTTCCCATATGCACCTGCAACCAGGGTATATGCCCTGACCAGGAATCGAACCCACAATGCTTCATTGTGCAGTATGATGCTCCAACCAAATAAGCCACACTGGCCAGAGCTGGAAATACTCTTGGAATGTGTACTTCTTTCTTTGTTTTAACAGTAGTGACTTTGGCTGAGTAATTACACTACTCCAGAGAAGTTTCTAAATGCTTAACCCAATGTCTGTTCTTGAGCAAGAATTTATTCATCTGGTTAGAATTACAAATGCAGATGTGGGGTTCATAGGTCTGACCTTAGGGCGAGACTT